AGAAAAGAGCAAAGCAAGAAAATAGTGTTCATTAGTTAAACAATAAGCAAGAGTTAAGCTAATTTATGATTTATATTTCAATCCCCTCGACAGCAGCAATTGCTCAATTTTCAGCAACTGGCCATTAAAATATTTTTTATGGGCACAGCTGCTTCGCGCACAAATAAAATGTGGCACATGCCACAAAGAGCTGAAGTACTTCAAGTTCTTATTTGGTTGCCGAATTGTTTTGTTGAGCTAGCTTTGAGTGCCTGCAAATATTGACCGGTGAATTGTGTTTAATCCCAAATCAATTAAAATCAACTAACATACCCCTCCTCACACAATGAGCCCCCCTCCCCATCCCCTTGCCGGGTGAATCATCTGCTGATTTTTTTGAGCGCTTGAGGCGATCTTTCATAGTCTTTTTTAGTTATAATTCTTCTTTCTTATCGCGCTAGTCGTGCAGAGATTGTGGGGCAAAGGGGGCACGGTAGGAGCTGGCGCTGTGTGTGTGTGTGTTTGTATTGGAGTGTGTGTGTGTGAGTGTGTGTGTGTGTGTCTGTGTTTGTGAGCAGCGGTCGCTTAGGTCAATTTGGAGTGCGTGATAAATGGGCGCGTTGCGTGGCTCAAGACTCGATTCAGTTTGGATTGAGTGAAGAGTGCCTTTGATTGTGGTTGTGGTCTGCGCTGAATGTGTGTTTATTGTTGTTGTTGTTTTAGCTGTGCTTTAATATTTATGGTCAGTGATAAGATTGCTCAATTGGGGTTTCTGTATTGTGGCTGCTGCTGTTGTTGTTCTTGTTGTTGTTGTTGTTGTCGTTGTGGCCAAAAGCTGTTTAAAGTTGATGTAGGTTGGAAGTTTCATAAGCTTCTTGCTTGAGATTTACTGCTATCTTTTTTTTGTTTTGTGGCTTTTGCCCAGAGTGCAACATGAGCTGCCATAAAGCTTAGCTCGATAAAGAGGGACAGTGATAGAAAGCAAGAGTTTTCAGCAGGGGGTTGCTTAAATTTATCGTGGTTCACTTTCAAGTTTTGGGCGTGTTAAAAGCAACGAAAGAACTGCTGATTATGGCAAAAATAAGACCATAAGTACAATATTGTACAGCTTTTCATATTTGCAAAATTGCTTTAAAAGTTTGAGAATTCAATGAATATTTATTACAGGCATGACATCAAAGTTTAAAAACTAATAAGAAAACCATTTTTACAAGTATAATAAATACTGCAGGACATATTTGGGCATATTTATTATAAATTGTGATATAAATGTAGAATGCTATTGAGAAAAAATCCCTGGTTCTTAGAAATATACTTTCTGAGTAACAAATTCTAAAATTCAGTGCGATTTTCTGAGTATAATAAGAGGGTCGTCGGCTTTATTTTGCAGTCAATAAATTGTTATTGTACAAAATATAAGCAAATATTTATATTGGTATATGTACAGATAAAATATTTTCAGTGCACATTTGAATACCATCATCGGGGATTTATTTAATAAAGAGGCAGCTTAGCTGCCTATTATATTTTTATTTAATTTATTTCTTGACTTCCAATAGCTTGTATCATGCTTTTATCTAAGGAGATAACAGCATCGTCATTCTGAGAGGACCATTAAATAGTACAAGGAAAAAAAGATTGACAAAGCGAGCTCAACTCAATTCAACTAATGCAGCCGGTAGTTAGGCAACTAAAGAAGCTGGAGCAGAAGGGGGATGCTGAGTAGTGGCAAAGGGGCTGGGATGTGCTTCACTTTTGCTGCTGATGCTGCTTTGTGCGACCGCAAAGTGAAATTGCTCGACGACGATGAAGTCTGTCAATAAAAAAGGCCAATAGCAAATAATATGCCGCAAAACTGCTGACTGCTGACTGACTAGATGAAAAGGGGAAGTGGGACAGGGGCAACTAAGTGAGAGAGACGGATTGGCATTTATGAGGTTATTACTCATAGCAAAAATTAATTAAGCGCCGCACAATCGAAAGCCCGGAAGGATCCAAAGGCCCGAAGGCGTTAGGCGAGGGAAAACATCGAATGGGCAATTAAAAAAGTTTTTCAAATACAAAAATCGCTGGGCGTAGTTGAAGTGTCAGTGAAGAGGGCGTGGCACTTGGCAATTGCATTAAAACAATCAACTTTTAGCCATGTCTGTGCTATCTGCCATCAAGAATACCATTTAAAAAGTTGAAATTGTGAAATATTTGAAGTTTTTAATGTTGCAACCGTCAAAGTCTTGAATTGGCCAAGTTGGTAAAGTTGGCAAAAAGTTAACAGCTGCCACGCCCCAAGACTTCCATTTGACGGCTTAATTAAATTGACACAAAAAGTTGTTGATTATAGTTCTAGTTATACAAGAAGAAGAGCAAATTGTAAAAATTATATGTCAATTTACTTTTTCAATTTAACTTGGCTTTAATTATAATGAATATGACAAAGCTTTAAAGATGAACTAAATGTGCTAGATGAATCCAAGTTAAAGTTCCAAACTTATACTAAGATTCTAAGAATCTAAGTAGCCAAAAACTCTGATAGAGACGAATGCATTTATATAAACTGCAATTCGCAGTTTGTGGCAGCTTGCCTTAAGCTTCTTAAGTGCACTCTTTGAGAGATATTTACTCAACTGTGTGGCATGCCACCACAATCGACCCACATAGAACCCCAGCTACATTTCAGTGGCAGGCAGAGCAAGAAGCAGCTGCCACTCGGTCTCTGCTTCAAATGCCATAACAAGCTCAAATGCTGTCAGACATAACTCCAGAGCAATTATTCTCATATTCCTGACTTTTACTCAAGTCTCAAGCAATCGGCAAACTGCAAACTGAAAACTGCAAACTGCATTTTATTCCCATTCTTAGTTGCACGTATGTATTATTCTGCTTGCTCTTGACTGCTTTCCTAGTTTAACATGTAGATGTGTCGGAAAGGTTTCAGTTCTCGAGTAAATCGATGGCTATCAATAGCGGGTACCACAAATTAACATCGTTTTATTTGAAAACATTTTTGCTTTTATCAAATATTAAAGCTACTTATAATTGCAAAGAAATGTTTTCTAAAAAAAAAAATTAAATGTCTGTAGATTTAGGGGCATAAAAAAATGATGAAGTTTACTTTTGGTCGAATTTAGTTACTATCTTTTATAACTAAAAGTATTCTCAGGCTCCATTAGATTACTCCTTTAAGATTACCGAGTACTGATTATTTCGGCGATTCCAGATTATATCAACGTCTGCGCAGGTTTTGCTAGAGCAGACCGCATTTGACCTCATCATATCAATAATGTCTATCTGACCTTTTGAGCAAGCCGATATCAATAACCGAATTTCAAAACGTCTGCCAGTATCTGCAATCTCTTTGAAATAGCTTTATATCCACTAAATAAGCAATGGCACAGTGAATCCATCAAACTCCGCAACATAAAGCAATTTACACGTACGCCATGACCTTGAGTCGAGACCTCCCAGTTCACTCGCTCAGCTAGGGCGAAGTTTGGGCAGATTTATGTTGTCTGGAGAAATGTCTAATAGTATGTCTGGCTGGCTGTCTGGCTAGCCTCGATAAATTTGATGGCTCAGCGTATTTAAAAGGTGTGGCCATAAAATACTTTATAGCTTTACAAGATATCAACTAAAAGAAATGGTTTTCACACCAAAACAAATCCCCCTGCCCCATCCGCATTCCTCCTACTCATATTTGATGAAATGCAATTTCAAAGTTTATTTCATTTGTGACTCCCAACTGAAAATTGTTGACGACTTATTTTGAGATATGTATAAGCGCATCCGACAACAAAAAATGACAATGAAATCAAGTTGTGCTCATATGCAGACCATTTTTCTCTTTCTTCCCTTACGCCTAACCAGAAAATGGCCCTGCCCCTCTCTCCGTACTTAATCTTCGAGTACATTTGTCTGACTGCCTCGGAAGTTTATCAGACTTTTGCGTGACTTTTGTTGACAACTTGAGTTACACACAGAGAGAAACATCGGGCAGGGGATTGGAATGGGGGGGAGAAGGAAGAACTTGAGGCGACATCTTCCATGGGAATTTGATGCAAGGCAACTTGGCGTAAAAGTTGTGCTGACAAAAATGTGACTCGACTTGCGGCACCGATAAGCGAACCGAATGAATTCTGAAGTGCGCCGACAGTTACAGCAGCCAGATAAAGTAATGGGGGTTACATGGGGTTCGGGGGAACGAGAGCAGGTATCCCTCAGCTGTTGTGCAAGAATTTAAGGCACATTCAGGAGCGGCAACAGCAACAACAACAACAGTAGCAGCCGCAACATTGTTACGTTATTTTTTACAATTGCATTCTAGAAGCGCGCTTGAAAGTAGGCAATGTATATGCACAATACTGCGGCAGCTGCCACCGAATGTTGCAGCCTTTTTACGGCTGCCACAAGCAGGCAGCCAAAGCCAATGAATGAGTCCCATGGCAGTTGGCCAAGTTAGCGACAGTGTTGCAAAATATGTTCAGATAACCAGCTCTTTAATTGCATAAGGATCTCAGATTTTCGAGGTAGACATATTAATGAAATGAATTTGGCTTTGAGGCAGACCAATACTGAAGCTCAAATAAAAGTGAGACAGACAAATACTGAGGTTCATTCCAAAATGAGCCAGATTTATACTGAAGCTCATATCAAAATGATTGCGGCATTTATAATTATAATTAAACTTACAATGACTATCTTGTTGTATAAGAAACCGAATTTTAAATTTATGTTTAAATAGCTCAAGTCCTGGAAATATAAGTAGATTTAATTTATATTATATATAATGGGAGGAATCCATATCAATCTCGAAATAAAACTACATTTCAGATGAGTTAATTTATATTCTATATGACCAATCTCTGAATAACTATTTCCAATAGAATAAATCTTTAGTCTGTTGGCAGTTCAAGTAACTCCGGCAACTTCAAATTGGAAAACTCTTTTTACTAAACAAATTAGAGGCAACTGCATTTCGGAAGCAGTCAACTGTGATTTTGGAGATTTGGGGCAATCGGGTTACTCACATTGGTTGACAGCTGGCTGCTCAGGCTGAGCACCTGCTCCCGTGCATCCTGCAGTTCGCGCTTCAGTCGTCTGATCTCATTCGCCTGTCGCTCCTCCGCTGAGCCGTACAACGAGCTGCCGCCCGACAACAGTGAAGCTGCGCTGCCATGAACTACAATAAGAATGATGGCGAATGGATGATGGAAGGGGTGTTTAATATTTATCCAACTAGCTGAGCATTTCAACTGTTATCTGCACTCACCTTCATCGTTCTTCTTCGGATATGTTAGACGATGTGAGGCATTCACGCTGCTCCGCTCCCCACCAGCCGCAGCTGCCACAGCTGCAAGCGCCGCTGCCGCCGTGCCATGTGTGGGCGACAATGCCGACGCAGCGCCGCCCGCAAAGGGGCCCCGATTGAGGGGTGTGGGTGAGGTGGGCTGACTCCAGGCAACAGCTGCCACATTGTCCGTCTGCGAGTGGACCACAGCGGCGGCCATTTGGGCGCTGAGCATCCGACTGGTGCCGACGGGGAGGCAATAATAGGGCTCGATTTCCAAATCTACCCCACGGCTCAGCATCGGGCGATACATTTTCTCCGATTTTGTGGATCTGTGGTGGCAAAACCAAAATAACAAGTGATTGTGGTGCGAATTGTGGATTCTTTAATATGTATAATATTAATATATGAATAAGTGATAAATGATAAAAATGTACAGAGTAAAGTACAATAAAAATGCCATCTTAAATTTGTTATTATTCAATAAACATTAATTGTATTAATATTTAAGAACATTTCATTAATTCAAATGGTTTATAAATTAAGAATATTAGTAAATGCATTAAGCAATGGAATGGAAAATAGCTGATTGCCTTTTGCAAACTGTTATTATTCTGAAATAAGTGCTTAATGTATTTGTTTTTAAATTTGTAACTAGTAAATAATGTCAACACTCTAATGTAACTTTTGAATTCATGAACAACTTTTAGCAACAATGGCAAATGGCAAACAATGGCAAATAAATAAGCCATTAAAAGCATTCAATGTGGGTAATTATATTAAAGTAAAAGCCGTCAAAATAATTGCATTCCTGTGTGGAAAGAATGATTTAAGTTATTGTAGATCCTCTTGGGCGTTAAATCAGCCATGCAACACTGATGAAACTGACCACAAGCTGCCCCAATTAGCACACTTGACAATTTTGGCCAACACAGTTCACAGCCACAAGGCTATTAGTATTGGTGCTGCAGTTGTTGTGCTCTTCCTGAGTGTGTATTAGGTGTGTGTGATGTGTGTTTGCCAGACGCCTGCAAATTTCCGCTTGTGGCTGTGCAGTTTATTAGGCCAATCTCAAAATGGGCTTTGCATATTTCTAGCCTATGCGCAAATTTCCGTTTAATGTTCGTCAGCGACAATTTGACATGTGGGTGATTGTTGTGTGTGTGTGTGTGTGTCTGTGTGTGTGTAAATGATGAGGGGTGAACGATGTCCATGCAAATCCCTCGACAAATTGTCATAAATTACGATGCTTATACGGCTCAGAAAATGACCACATATATGGAGAGTGGCAGGACAGCCATATGAGAAGGGGTCGTCAGTAGAGTATGGGGAAATCTGTGCTGGCCAACTTGCTTTTGTTGCCTTGTTGGTGCTGGCCACCGCACTGCTGATAACTGGCATTAAAGTCATTTCACATGCAAATCTAATATTACGCATACGTCATGTGTGCCCAACACTTCTCTTTCCGTTCTTCCGTTCCGTTTCGTCTGCACATGTTTTGCCTGTTTGCATTTGTGGTGTGTGTGGGGTTGTGCCAGTGTATGTGGGTGTGTGTGGGTGTGTGTGGGTGTGTGTGACGCCTTGTGTGTGTTCGTTTGGATTTTGGGTACGCTCTAGGGCGTTTACTTAACGCTGTAGAGCATTTCTCCAACAACCATTCAGTATGTGAGTGATTCGTCCCGCCCCACTCTCGTCTGCTGGGCTGTAAGATTAGATAACAAGCCACCGAAACTGGTTTCGAGTGTTTTCCCATTTGCTGATATTCCACTACTTCAACCCCCTCCGTTAGCCGCATGCCATTTCCTACTGCATAATTGATGCATTGAGAGCAAGTGCTGGTAATCATATTAGTCGAATGGCAAACAGGTTCGATTCATGTGAGTGAGTTGAGGCAGATTCTACTAAAAGGCACTGTATTGAAGTGCGACTTAGAGAGAAAGTTATGGATGGAATATATTAAACAGAGCATTCTTTAATCATACGATCTGACTTGATTACAAGTTTCGTTACTCTGATCAGATAAACGGACTGAAAACCATTTGAACTACATAAAATTGGATTAATAATATTTTGCTGAAGGGATTTTCTGTTTCTGTTTTTCTTTCTGTTTCTGATCTATTATAAATACTTTGGCGAAGCATTCATTGATTTTACCTATATGGCTTTATTAATAGTTTCATTCTCAAAATTGCGTTTGGCAATATTCACCAGTCTCATATAGAATTCTCTGCTCTGCACTGAACCCCATATTTGTGGGTTTCGTTCTGCTTTTTATAAGCATTGCTGGAAAAAATTTTAATGAAGCACTTGAGAGTCAACACTCGCCTGCAACTGCGAGCTGCTGACGTGGCCAGAATGAAGTAAAAACAACAACAACATCAACAACCACAAAGACAGCACCAAAATGGCAATCCAGAGGCAAACTTCATTTCAGCTGTGCTGTGCTGTGCTGTGCTGTGCCATGGCCAAGTCAAAGGTTCACGAAACCTATTGACATGTCAAATAATAATCTGGCCACCCCCGCCGTCCCGCTTCCCCGCTCATAGTCAGCAACTGTTTGCCCCCTTTGCTGCTATTTACACTTATACGTCGAGCCGAAAGCGTTGCCCCTTCAACAACCCACACTAGTTTTCTTTTTTTTGGATTTCCATTTTGTGTTCATTTTTGCTGCACTCTTCGTTTTGCTGTTATTTTGCACACTTTGCTGTTTTACACAACTTTCACATTGTCTGGTGGCCATAACGCAAGTCCCAACACCCATCCTTCCCCTGCGACAAGTTGCCCTTTAACTATTTGGGGCGCGCCAGCAAAACACACAGTCTTCCTCTTAAAGCTTGCTTCCACAGTGACTTTAATATATGCACGAGATGTGGCGACTACGGCAGACATATGGTGACTTGCCCCTGCCACCAAAACCAAACTATCACAAATTGCTTGCATACTTGCAGGCGTGCATGAAAAAACAAGCTCATTACACACATTTGTGTGTAGGTGTGTGTACATGTGAGTGTGTGAGCTGACAGGCAAAGAATAATGTGGTAATTTGACAAAGGCTGATGATATTTCATTAAGCTAGCAGAGAGCAATATGAATATAAAGAGCTGAAGAAGCCTCAACACTTAACATTGTTTTTAGGATAACAATATTTGTTTGCTTTTAGATCCAGTTTTCCAGAGATTCGAATTAAAATTTAAAAAATATTGTTTAAGCTTATTGAAATTAAATAATGGGATTATTATGGAAATAATTAAACGATTGAACGCAAATCTAATTAAGCAACTATATATATATAAATATATATAAGCTATATAGTAAACAAAATATATATTAATTATTGAAAGTTTCTAAAGATAGAATACTTTTCAAGATGATATATATTTATTTCTTATATTTTTCCTCCAATTTAGAGTCAAAAACTTTTTAAAGTGATTCAACCAAATGACGTATGCCCATTATTTTGTCAGGGCATATGAGAACACAATGAACGCGACGTCTACAACAACACAGACACACACACACTTACACACACACACACAACACACACACATTTTTACACACACAAACTTTGACACTTATGTGGAATTTGAATTTTTGGCGACGCGGCAATGTAAATGTGAACTGGAGGCGGCAAACACTTTTAGAGAGCGCGACTGCAGCTGATTCTTTTGGAATGCGATGTTAAAAGTGGGCGTAATGGGCGTGGCATGCAAAAGAATGCAAAACTTAAAGTGCACATCAAAAGTGAGCGGATTTGTGTGGCAAAGTCACCTTGGGTATGTCCTTTCTTTCAGATAGCTTTACGAGGTCAAAAGTGAAGAAGTTCAAAGAAAGTTAGAGCGAAAAAATGGGAGATAGAAAGATAAAGAGAAAGAGAGAGAGGGAAAAAGAGAGGGTTCGAGTGCATGCTTATCGAATGAATACTATTCAAATGCATACCTGATGCTATTGCTGCGATTCATGCGCGGACTCTGCACATAGGGCGACTCATTGCCCTGCACGGTCATCTGTCCCTGCCCCGCCGCGCCCGTCGATCGATTGTGCAGCATCTTGTGGCCATGACGCGTCATCGCTGGCGAGCCAATCTGCATCTGATCAATGGCATCCCCATCGGACAGACGACTGCCAGCCGTATTGCTATGCTTCAGCCACATGGCATACGAGCTGTATTCGGGCTTCACCTCTGCATAGGTCTGCGTATCCGACAGCGATCCGTCATGCCGAGTGCTGCCTCCGCGTGTCGAGACCCTGTGGCAGACATAGCGAGATATATAAGTATGTATTAATAAAATTCTAAGATGGAGCTCATCTCACCTGTGCTGGAACACATGCATATCGCTGCCCGGCTTCGGCAAACTGTGCGAACCTGTGGCCAAGCGCTCCCTAATCGACTGACTCAGCTGAGTCGCCGTCGGACCAGTCAGCGAGAAACTCCGATGCTGTGTATTCGGTGGCAACTCTGAAAAGGAGCAAAGATCATGGATTAGTAGGTTATACACATTTGATATGCATGTATGTATATTAAGTATATATATATAAGTAAGTCTTTTCTCGATACATAGGTTCGTTTCTGGAAATTGGTAAGTTATTGCTCAAATCAGAGAAGCATATTGAAGGCTATACCGTTTGAAGTAGGTAAACTCTCTTTAAAAAAAAACAAAAGGTAAAGTTAAAGTTAAAGTTACAAAAATCGCTATTAGAGCAATAAATATTCTGATCTACTCAACCCCGACATACATATCCACCTAGTCGTGAAGGGGTGGGCCCAAATTTTTTGATTGGGAATTATAATATTATCATGAGCTTTAATCTAATCCAATGTGTGTATTACAAAGTTTAAAAGCAAAAATGTTAAGCTGCCCCCTGCGTACACCCTTCTATTTGTACATATGTAAGCTACCTGCAGCTAAGAAGGATATAAATCAAATGAGAAGAGTTTCAAGTCCGAGAGACTAGAATCAGTTGTTGTTTCTCTCAATTCTTTTTGACCTATGCCAGAGTCTCATATACAACATATAGGAAATGATAAATAGATTGTTCAAATTTGTTCCACTCACTGTTCATATCATTGGGCAGCGTTTGGGTGCCGCCTGTGACTTTGCGACCGCTGGCAGTGCGCGGCACTGCGGAGACGTGAGCGGTACGACCACAAGGTAAACCATTGACGAGGCCTGTTGCACCACCGGTTGCCATTAGCATGGCAATGTTCTGCTGCTCCGCAGTGGAGGCGATGCTGCCATTGGCTCGCTTCACATAGCCAAAGCTGGGTGGGACGCCTTTGGTGCGCGACGAGGATGATGGCGAACCCTGTTTGGAGGAGCTGCCACTGCCACCACCGCCAATGTTGCGACGCGAAGGCGATGACTTCTCCGACTTGTCCGCCTTGTGGCCATTCAGTGGTTCCGGCATTTTTCCCCAATTATCGCGTCCATTTCGTGAGCCTGGCCGATGGTGTGGACTGCCATCCATTTTGTTGACGTTATTGTTGTTATTATTATTGTTATTGTTGTGGCTGTTGCTGTTGCTGGTGGATCCTCCACTGGAGCTGGCCTGGCTGGCCGCCGAGCTGCCGTTGGCAGCGGTGCCAATGCTATCAAGCGATCCGCGACTGCTGCGAATGCTGCAATAGACGGATATAGAAAGAAACATTAATGTGGGTCCCAAAATCATATGCAGATATAAATGATCCTTGTTTTATATAATTAATATATATATATAAAGTTTGTTCAATGTTTCCAATATAAATGCTAAATGCAAAAATAATCACACAAAAACGTATAACAAATTAATTTTTATTCCTTAAAAATACAACAATATTAACAAATAGTTTCTGTGGAAGCCCCAAATTTATAGAAGTATTTATAAATTGCTAATTAAAAGGTCAGCAGCTTTAATGAACAGAAGCACCAAAATATTAATGATGCATTGCTCGATGACTTTGCCTTGGTCAGCTGGTCGCTAATTGCCATACAGCATCAAGATGCCAATTATATTGCGCATACGCCACGTGTGGCAGTGCTTAATTTTATTTTTAATTTTTATTAATTGCTTGAGTAATTTATGTAAGTCTTGCAACATTGCTGTTGCTGATGAGGTATACGTATTGTCGTTGTTATATAAGTTGTATATCGAAAGTACCACACCGAAAGGCAGCCAAGTGTAAAGCAAAGCATCAGACTCAAGGCTCAGCTTAATGCAACTGCCAAACAATTGGAAAATCAGCGTGCAAACAGGCATGCAATTGAGAAATGAATGAAGAAACACGACAGACAGTTAGACAGGCTGACAGACTGACAAACTGACAGACAGGCAGAGAATCGACAGTGGTGCACAATGGAGAATCAACCGAGGCGAGCTTAGACGTTGGGCAAATAACGATGTCAAAGTGCGACAACAATTGCATCTTGCCACACACAAAGGAGGCGACAAAGCACACTGAGAGAGTGCTGGCCAACATTTTCAATTAAAATGACAATGGACGAGTACAAAACTTGCAAGACACTCCAGTGCCTTGAGCTATTGACAAAAAACATTCGACGATGTCTTCGACAATTGTACAACGACTTTGTACAAAAGTCAACAATAAAATTTCATACTGAAGACGCTAACGCGAACGTTTTGGCCATATATCAAAACTAATTGGGCGTGTCGCCCCTGCTACTTACGGGTATAATAAATATTGCCATTTATTTGAATATCCTGTGTCCATCGAGCGGTAAATACCTTTCCCCCAAAATGCTCTATAAATTAAGACAAAATTTATGGAAAAAAAACAGGCGCGTCAAATTATCTAACGCATAAATATCTCATTGACATGCAACATAACTATCGATTCGCTTAAATTTACGATCTTATCGGGCAGTCTGAGCATTTTTCGGATTAGTCTGAGGTGATTTGAGGTATTGTTTAGACCATATCTTTAGGATTAATGGTTTATACTTTATATATTGCTTAAGGCTCTTTAAAACTGCAAAATAATATATATATATGGAAATTCTGGACTGTGGATGTCTTTACTTAAAGCAAGTTTCCATCTTTACCATACATTTATTTTATAATAACATAATTTTTCCTTAAGCAATCCCATTTTGCAATCATTTTCTTCTTATATCCTTGTTTTATACATTTATCTTTCCCAAAAATAAGTTCATATTCTTCACTAAACAATTGCCTCGTTTTTTCTGTTGTTTAAAGACCATTGTGGGTCTATTATTAAACTGTTTTGTTGTCTATTTCTTTTTATCTCGCTGCTTTCAATATTTTCAAATCATTTCTATGCGCTGCGATACAAATTGCTTTTATATTCTCAATTGACAGATAAAATGTAATTTACCAAAACACTTCAAATGCTGAAAATGAAAACGCCAACTGCAAATTGCTTGTAAGTCGAATATTTTTTTGTTTTTTGTTTTTGTTCTTTTTTTGCGCATAAAATGTAATAGTAGCAATTTAAGGCAGACTGTGTGTTTTAGATTAGATCTATGCGCGTTTGATTCAATCTCACAGAGGCAACAAAATAAATTAACTAATTGTGAGTCGTTGGCAGCTTTAAGCGACATGCATTTGCCGCTGAAAAGTGTGCTATGATTTAAGAGAGGGCAAAATAACAGAAAAAACAGCTGTTTGGGTCATAAAACTCAACTACGCCCTAGCAAGCAATTACCGTCCAGATATGCCCAGGCTACAACAGACATACAGACATACAAGTGAGGGGACCACAAGAACAGCAATAACAACAACAAGCTGCAACAAAAAAATAAAAACTGAGCTCAACTGTAACTGAGACGTCCAGTTGGTCTTTAGGGTGAGAGCAGCCCTTAGAAATATGCGTGACTGTCTGTCTTAATGTACGTGGGTGGTTGTCTATGTGTATGTGTGTGTGTGTGTGTGTGTGTGTGTTGGTGCCAGAGTGAAAGTGAGCGTCAGAAGTGACACATAAAGCTCATAAATTGTCGCATACTCAATATGCATGAATGAAAGACGGACGTGGGGGGCGGGTGGTTTAAGTCGGTAAAATCAATAACGATTGACGCCAAACCTAGTAGCTCAAATCGATGACAGGGAAAGCATATATACCAACAACATATACTATATATGTATATAAGTATTGTAAATGCTTTTGCATGAGCTCTTAAAATGCAATTCATTGGAAATGCACTGAAAACCCGGCAACTGACCCTTTTCACCCGCTGCTGCACAGTGGCAGATGAAGCGAGTGCAAAAAATTTCGAAAAGCTGTCGAAAAAAGCTGAAGCAGCGGCAGACGTCATGAGCAGAAGTGTAGTAAATAAAGCGGAAGAATTGGGAAAATGCTATAAATATCCTTTAAGAAAAAGGGCAAGTTGAGACGAGCCACATTGATTAATATGTCAAAGGACATTCAATGCAGAACAGACGTCATCAAATGAATTGAATCGATTATTGTGAATCTGAAATCACAAACAATATATTTATATTTTATTGAAAACTGATTTTTCCTATATTACTGAATGCAATAACAAAAGCAATCATACTGTTTTTTTTTTAAATCCTTTATATTTTAATATTTTTAATAGTAAACATTTAATTTCATATTTTGTTGAACTTAAATATGTTCTGTATTTAAATAATTGTATTTTATTAAAGGGGGATCACCAAAAAATAAACAAATATTTTATTAAACTTTCATGTAGTGTTCTTATTAAGCTAAACTTAATTTTTTCTCTCAGTTTCAAATGTCCAAATGTCAAAACTGATGGCGTCTTTCTTATTCAGTACAGCTTCAGTGGTATATTTAATGGCAAATATTCTTCATCCACTAACAACTGTTTTTCCTGTGTAATATTTATACATTTATTGATTTGCATTTCATTATTTTTTTTGCTTTCAATATGAAATTTCAGTTCATCTCTCAGCTTTCAGTTGTCCCCTTAATAGGTTTAGCTCGCCACTCCTGTGACCAACTCTCGTACAAAGGAAGTGCGCATTTAGTGCCCCTCCCACCAACCATACCCCTGGCTTGTGCATTTGTCCATTTAGCATTTTGTGTATTATCCTGGGCACACATTGGACCACAAACGCATTTGAAATATATTTAGTGGACTGTGGAAAACAAATTCCATGCATGTCTGCCTCGAACCGGTTTTTCCGCTTTAGCCATTACAATTTGTAGGCTGCCATCCTTTGGGGCACAGGACGACGGACCAGTCGCAAACTAATTTTATGCACCAAATGTAATTTCATTGGCAGAAACAAAGCAACAGCAACAAACAACAAACAACAACAGCAGCAGCTGCTAAAGGCCATAAGCAAATTGGCCGAGGTGCGCTTTAGTGTTTCGGCTGTTTTTGGCTGTTTCGTGTCGAGCTATTTTAAATTCTTGTTGTGTAATTTTTAATTTAGTCACTAATTTATGCAGCGCCTCTCAGCACGTGTTCTATTTACATCGCAGATGGGGAGTAGTAGTACTTACAGCAGGCACTGTTTGTCGGACGTGTTCGTGTAATAGCCGCTTTTAATTGACAGCCGACTCCGGGGCTTTCAGCCGTTTGAATTACTACTTGGACTGAGGTCAGCTTTTAGCTAGACAATTAGGCGTGTAATTTGAGGATCCTTTGAAAATAAGTGACCCTAATTCATGCAGGCATAATACAAGTGAAAACAAGTACTAAGGCTTAGGTAAAGAGGAAAAGTGAAATAAAAGTGCCCAAATAGGTAAATAACAATTAACTAGTGCGAGCTAGTTAATTAATTGCCGAGCTAGCATAGGGATGGTTAGGTGGATCAGATTGGGCTTTCTCTAGTGCAATTAATAATGCATTCATTTGTAGAGAATTAAGTTAAGTAACTAGCTACTAACCTAGTGGCTCTAATTTCGCATTTATACAAAAGCTTATTGTAGGATACTGCACATCCCCTTGCCATGCAAGCCAACAAGGATGTTGCCTTTGTGTTGCAGAATTCTCGCATATTTCATTTATTAAAACTGTCAACAGGCGTAAAAGTAGGTTGGCTTATCAGCGACAGGAAGCACACACACACACCTCACCTCCTGCGTGATAAAATGTTATGAATGGAATTCCGACAGCCACACGCTGCTAGGCGTTGCAAGTAGTACAAGCAAACACATTAATGAAAGTGTCGAACATGAGAAATGGCAGGCGGCTTGCCCACGCACGCAACCTTCAAATGGGCATTTGGCTTTGGCCTTGCAACGTCGCCCAAAAGCATGCAAAACTCAACAGCAAAAACCAAACAACAGCATGTAGCACTTTTGGCCAACATACATTTGCCACATTTGCCACATTTGCCAGCTGACTGTGTCAAGGACTTTGTTAAAGCAAAAGCAGTCTAAGCAGATATGCCAGCCTCCTAATTGCTGCCAAAAAGAAAAAAATACAAAAAGAAATAAAAGAAGAGAAGCTGGTAGGCGCACATCAATTATGGAAATGACAGACTGACAGACAGATAGTCAAACAGGGTGCTCTTCCTTGTCGCACAATTGTTTGGCTTTTACGACTTCCCCCCATTCGCCATAAATTATGGTTTACTCACAACAATGAAACAGAAATTACAGTCTTCCTTCATCTTCTCTTCCACTCCAATATTTTTTTATTTTGCTTCTTTTTTTTTTTTGGTAGT